ATTCAATTACGTCAGTTAACTCCTTATTTACTCTTTTTATGTATAATATATTTACTAAGATAATTAAAAAATTCGAACAATTGGATGTACTTAAAGATCAAGTTTAATCAAATCAATTGAAACTTTGCCAGTGAGTACGAATTCTTAAATGTAGATCGGTACTACATTTATTTTCTACTTGTAATAAATTTTCTATTTGTTTTATTTGGTAACCGTTCCATAAGAGATCATTAGAAAATTGTGAAACAAATAAAATATACTGTAAAGATTTCTTTTTTATCTGCTTTATGTTTATATGCAATATTAAAATTAACATTCTTCCTAAAAATTTGGTGAAGCCATTAACTTGCATTGCTGAAATACATGAGAACTAAATAAATAACAAATTGATAAAAGTTTTAATCTAGTTGCAGATTTTAATTTACGATAAATATTATTTTGTACTGTACATTCAAATATCAGCATTGATGGAATTATATGAATTCTCCGGAGTCCTATCGATCCGTAATCAATATATATTTTTCCTTATCATGTAATAAAATATTGAAGAAACTGAAATTATTATCTTAACTTCAATATTCGACTACTCCAATTCAGAAATTTCATAATGCAAATTTATCTCATATTTTCAGAGATAAGGACAAAATGAATTGATATACGCCCTACAAAATTTTCAAAATTTTTTAGTCACTATAACCTAATACCATATGAGGTTTACCACCCTGTTAATTATGCATAAGCAGGGAACCCAGGACACCTATGTGGCCATCATAGGATCTATGGCAATCTCATATAGTATTCAATAACAACAACTAAGTAAGTGTCATGAGTCATGGCATAGAAATATGTGTCAATTCCACGGGCACCACGGCCTGCCCTCCCATATGGATCGGCTTGGGGATCACCTATGTGGCATCATTGTAGCTACGACTTGTGCACAAAGCAGATGACTACATAGCCAGTAGCAAATGGTACGTACTACGAGCACATAAACCTCTATGCCAATCATAACAATCCACCATCCGGAAGACTTTCTGCGATCCCTCATCCGGTGAACACGTACTCGTACGTCCATCCGGCAACTGTTATTTATACTCACCATTTAATGATATGACCCAGCCTCGTTTAGTGTTAGCTTGTCCTCTATCGCAAGTAGATACCAAATTTGGCATTATCTTGAATGTACCGTTTCAGTTGATCTGCCTAAAAATTGAAAGAATCAAATGTGTGATAGACAGCAGAAAACATGTAAAAAAGGAACCACAAAGCGTCTAAACTTAAAGGAGTAGTTGGAGTGGTTTTTTCACTTACAAAACAAGTTTCCAATAGCTAGCGAAACTCGTTACCCATATGTTGTCCAAAGGCAGTTCCGCCAGTAAATACAGTTTTTGATGTTGATATATATATATTTTCCGCCTTAATATTTATTTGCGCGTGAAAAGTATTTATTTACGCGTGAAAAAAAAGGTATTTATTTGCGCGTGAAAATATTTGTGCGTGAAAAAAAAGTCTGCGTCATCTGGTAATTGTGCTTCGTCGTATTCATTTACGCGTGAAAAAAAAGGAATTTATTAGATATTTATTTGAAAAGGAAGTATTTATAAAAAAAGTATTTAGTTGCGTCTGAAGGAGGAGTGAAAGAGATGGGTGTATTAAAAAAAAAAAGAAGAAAAGGACTGTATAAATATTATTTTTTTTGTTGTACAAGCTTTTCATATAAGTATAAATGGTGTCAACACACAATAATATCAAATATGATTATATTGTAGCTTTTAATTACCGCACTCCAGTTTCGTGGGCGGGATTTGTGTCGATCATCACCATATAAGGAACAAGTAACATTTAAGTGTCACCTAACACGTGACCGTGCGGAACGCGCTGTTTATATTTATCTCAGCGACTTAGTTTTTTTGAGTTGCCTGATCTCTATTTGTCATCCCCGTGACACAAAAAATCGCCCACAAAACTTGGGTGCTTAATTACCTAATCATGACGTATTTTCTTTCTTTTAGTACGCTTATTGTTGGATCAATGTTTGATTCGTCAGAGTTTTTTTAGATATAAGTTGCAACTTACTTCCGAATTTAAACACCACCCCAAACTTTAGTGAAAATTTTCCTTTAAAAATGTGGTGCTTAAAATCGGAAGGATACGATAATCCGAATTCAAAGGGGAAAACAGCTTTGAATATTATTTGTTATAATTACCAATAATAATAAAGTAAAAAAATCCAATATTTTATACCTCATAATTCAAAATTCAAAAAGTTAAAAACTGCAAATATCAAAAAAATAAACACAATTTTTTTATTTTATGAAATAAAACTACATTTTTTTGTGCAGCATTAATACTTAAAAGAAAAACTTGTTTTGTTTCGTTCTATCATTAGTAAATTTCCAAGTAAAGCAGACATTAATTAAAGTGCTAATACTATAGAACATATAAGATTAGATTGAAAACCTGGCACGATAGTTGTTTCATATTTTGTTGTTTTAAAATATAAACCTGAGATGGGAAAGTTTGGAAGTTGTATCTTTATCTCTTTTAAAAACTTTAAAAACTTGGAGAGTTTTACCTAAAATTGTAATTAGTTTGATTTGGAGTACGAAAAGTCATATCAATAAATTAAGTTATAATCATTATCAAATTAATAGAAAACTTACTAACGCATGAAATAACTTATTATGGATTGAAAAAAATATTGATTAGTTGATTAGTTGTCAATATTTAGAAGGTTTATTTATATGTTCAAGGAGATATTGAAATTGATTTACCTTCAATAAATCTTCGTCAATGAAAATTTTCTTGTTTTGAATATGAATTAGATCGTTTAAATTATTCTTTGATAATTGGACAAAAAGTCCTATATTATACAAATACTATATTCAGAGTTTGATCGAAGATCAACTGAAAGATATTATTTGCTTTATCAAGTCTTGACCTTTCGTAACTTTACTAGTTAAATATGTATTGTTACCACAATTCCACAACAGAAACCAATTTAAGTTACTAAGTAATGTAAACTTAAAACTTTATCAATAAGGCTGTGTGGGAATAAAAAATTACCAGAATTATCATAATCAGTACATGTTACATTTATTTGTGCTAATCTCTATAAAACTTAATTCAGGCTGAAAAATTCTGCCTGATATAAAAATGTCGCATTAATACATATTTTATTTTACCTAACTTTTATTTATTAGTAATTGTAACTAAAAAAATACCGGTAAGAAGTAAATATTTAGAGAAATGATATATTAAATATTGACAATTTAAAATTGAATTATCTAATCTCATCGCACGGGGACTCTTAAAGTCAAAATCAAAAGTTAACATCTATGACGCAATTTTATATTACTTGTAAAATTATCAGAGTATTTTAAATAAATTTATTATTGCATTACTGTATATATAAAATGTATATAAAATTTTTGAAGTACAAACAGTTAAATCAACAAAAGAATCTTTTTTAGCTAAGAACAAAAATATTTGTATAAAAAGATAAACTTTTTATTTACTTTTTATATGGAGAGTCTTATAAAACATACATAAAATAAAGTAAAAATAGAGTTTTATCTGCGAAAGGAAGAGTTTGAGAACAGAACCATGAGAGACATTAAATATTTTAATAATAAAAATTTCAAAAACATTAAAAGGCTATCTTCACGTCATTTGAATAACGATATGGATAAGTTTTTTATCAACATCAAAAATAACTTAAATTTGTGAGGAGATAAACCGAATATTGAATTCAACTGAAGAGTTATGTATAGAGAGTGTAGAAATGGCATAGAAAGAATGGGAAAACAGGATTCTCTTTTGACACTGGCTGCAAGAGATGCAGCAATCACAAAAACCACATGTTGTCGGAAACCAGCTTGGGTGAGAAGGAACGAAGTAAGAAAAAAAAGTCGAAGAAAATATTGAAGAGAATTGTAAGCGGTTACAGCAAGTCAAGTATCAGAGAAGATAAGGTAAAAATAACTAGTTATTATAATATTAATAGGAAATTTACTAATATATAAAATTGTCTGAAACTTAAATATTTCAAAATAACTGTCAATATTTAACGGTCTATACGTTCAAGAGTATTATTTATTTTAATATCAATTACTTTCAAAAATATTGAATAGACTGTATGATGTTAAATAGCAAATGGTGAAATAATTTAAAGTGTATGTATGAAAATAGTAAACAATCGGCAGTAAAGCCTATAAAAATAAGCAAACAATGTATAACGAAAGGTCAATAAATGACAATAAACAATACATAAAATAAGACAGGTTTATTATAAGAAATTGGAAACAAATCGGCAAGGTTTATTTATTAACAAATAAAATGCAATATTACTGCCTCTATCGGCGCTCTGTAATATTCGTATCTATTTTTATATCAAATAAAACCACGCACACCCTTTCCCAAATCTCCACAAATCGGTCCTTATATATTATCCAAAATTCAGTACAAATTCGTCCAGCGAACAAATTTGCCATCCCAGTTAGACTACCCTAGCCACCTACCATCTAAACTTCCGATTTCCATCTATATGCCCAATAAACTATAAACTATATATATAAATAAACTATTTATAAAAAAATAATAAACTAAATAAATTAAATAAAAAAATAAAATAAAAATTAACTACAAAAATTCGGATAACACTAACGTTTGATTAGGGTGTTAGGTATAATGAGAATTTTTCATATGTTAAAATCGGTACCACACAGAAGATTCATTGTATTGTGAAATTAATTATATGCCAACTATATTATAATGTTGTATGTTAAATATGAAATTCATGAAATACAAGCAGTTAAATAAACAAAAGAATCTTGTTCAGTTTTAGTTAGGAATAAAATTATTGGCATAGAAAGATGAAATTTTATTACTCTTTACAATCAATAAATTCCTAAAGTAGATGAAGGGTATGTATAAAGACTATATAAATTTTAGTTAACCTAAAATTATTTAATTCAAATCTATTAGATCGAAAATATTGAATGTTTGGTGATTTGGTTAGTAATCTTAAATTAAGCATATGTTCAATTTTATTCATTTGTCAGCTTTAAAAAAAGAAAAGACATGTCTATTTTTACATTTCTTTGAAAATCTAATTGCTTTGAGTGTTAGCCAACTCTTTGTTCCAGTTAACTAAATATAATATAAAGTATATAATTTTAGTATCTTAATAAAGTAAATAAAGTAAAAAATTATAAACTTACTGTGGAAATTTGAAGAGGAATGTACATGTTCTAAAGATTCAGCATTAGACTGTGATTCCGAAGTTAAATTTTCATTATCTATAAAATGAACAGACCGTTGTATTTTCATTATGATACTATCGATATAAACAAATAAATGATATACTGTAAATATGAATACCTTTGACTAATTCTCTTATGACATTATTTCCAAAACCCATTTTTTCAAACTCATTCAATATTTCAATGATAGTTGGTCTTTGTTCAGGTTCTTGTTTCCAACAATTTCTATAAAGTTTTTCATATTCGTTAGGAGTATCAGGAACAGTATTTTCACGAGTACCAGTGTTAATGGAAATAGCAAGTGCAACTTTATCATCACAATCCTTAAATGGAGGACATCCGCTAGAAATTTCCCACATTAGTACACCAAAACTATAAATATCTGAAGATTTAGTATATGGAAAATTTGCATCCTTAAAACGTTTTGGCTCCATATAAGTAATAATACCAAAATTACCAACATAAGCTGTTGAAGTTTGATTATTTTGATTTTTTGAAATACCAAAGTCAGTAATTATAGCATTTTTTTCATGAATAACTATATTCCTAGAATGCTTTATAAATTAAGTTACATAAATATATTATTATTTTTTTTAATGCCATAATGATATTAAACAATAATAATTTAATACTTACAAGATCTCTATGTAAAATATTTTCATTATGCAAGTAATTTAATCCATCTGCAATTTGAAATCCTAATTTTTTTTTATCATTTCAAGTTAAATTCATAAAATTATTTTTGAGATAATTTTGAAGATCTCCACCATTAGCATACTGCATAATAAGAATATATTCATTCGTTTTTGGATCTAAAAAAAAAATAAGTTTATAAGAAATTAAAGAAATGCAATGTAAAAAAAAATATTCAAATTACCTAAACTAATACCAAAACAACGTATAATTCTGTCACTATAATTAAGGTGCAGGTGCATTTTTAGTTCATGAATAAATGCATCTAACATATCATTCTTAATATAAGTTGTATTAATCAATTGTTTACAAATAACATAATTATTAGTTTTAGTCCAAGTTGCTTTTGATATTTTTCCAAATCCTCCTACATCAAGAGGTTTTGCATTTTTTAGTTCTTTATAAGATATAAATTTAACTTTTTCATATTTTAAAGCATTTTCAATCCATTTATTTGCACTTAAACTTTCATTTTCTGCTTTTTTAAACCAATAAATGGACTTTTCTAAGCGTTTGTTCACTCCTTTGCCAATCTTATAAAAGAATCTAAGTTTATATTGTGCATTTTGTTCAGTTGCTCTTTGATACCAATAAGAAGCTTTAATTTCATCCTTTTCAATACCAATTCCTTCTTTATAATAAACACTTAGATTAAATTGTGCTTCTTTATCTCCATTTTCTGCTGCTTTTTGATACCAATAAATGGCTTTAGCTTCGTCTTTTTCAATACCAAGTCCATTTTGGTAACATAAACCCAAATTTTTTTGTGCATCACTAAGTTCTTGTTCAGCCGCTTTTTGATACCAACAAAAGGCTTTAAATTCATTTTTTTCAATACCAATTCCTTTTTGATAACAAAAACCTACTTTATTTTGTGCATTTTTATTTTCATTTTCTGCTGCTTTTTGATACCAATAAAAGGCTCTAACTTCATCCTTTTCAATAAAATTTCCTTCTTCATAATATAAACCTAATTTAAATTGTGCATCTATATTTTCGTTTTCTGCTGCTTTTTGATACCAGTAAAAGGCTTTGTCAGAATTCTTTTTTATTCCTTTTCCATTTTCATAGCACATAGCTAAATTAAATATTGCTTTAATATGATTTTTTTCTACTGCTTTTTGATACTAATAAAAGGATTTTTCTAAATTCTTTTCTGTCCCTTTTCCATTTTCATAACATATGGCTAAATTAAACATTGCTTTAATACAATCTTTTATTGCTGCTTTTTGATACCAATAAAAGGCTTTTTCTAAATTCTTTTCTGTCCCATTTCCATTATTATAACATATAGCTAAATTATTCATTGCAACTTCATTACCATTTAATGCTGCTTGTTGATACCAATAAAAAGATTTTTCTAAATTCTTTTCTGTCCCTTTTCCATTTTCATAACACATGGCTAAATTAAACATTGCCCTAATACAATCCTTTTCTGCTGCTTTTTGAAACCAATAAAAAGCTTTTGCTAGATCTGTTCCTTTTCCATTTTCATAACATATGGCCAGATTATTCATTGCAACTTCATTACCATTTTCTGCGGCTTTTTGATACCAATAAGAAGCTCTTTCTAAATTCTTTTCTGTTCCTTTTCCATTTTCATAACATACGGCTAAATTATTTATTGCAGCTTCATTACCGTTTTCTGCCGCTTTTTGATACCAATAAAAGGCTTTTTCTAAATTCTTTTCTGTTCCTTTTCCATTTTCATAACATATGGCCAAGTTATTCATTGCAACTTTGTTACCATTTTCTGCTGCTTTTTGATACCAACAAAAGGCTTTTTCTAAATTTTTTTCCACTCCTTTTCCATTTTCATAATATATGGCTAGATTATTCATTGCATCTTTATTACCATTTTCTGCTGCTTTTTGATACCAATAAAATGCTTTTTCTAAATCTTTTTCGGTTCCTTCTCCATTTTCATAACATACGATTAAATTAAACATTGCTTTAATACAATCTTTTTCTGCTGCTTTTTGGTACCAATAAAAAGCATTTTTTGAATTCTTTTCCGTTCCTTTTCCATTTTCATAATATATGGCCAAATTATTCATTGCATCTTTATTACCATTTTCTGCTGCTTTTTGATACCAATAAAAGGCTTTTTCTAAATTCTTTTCTGTTCCTTCTCCATTTTCATAACATATGATTAAATTAAATATTGCTTTAATACAATCTTTTTCTGCTGCTTTTTGATACCAATAAAAGGCTTTTTCTAAATTCTTTTCTGTTCCTTTTCCATTTTTATAACATTTGGCTAAATTAAGCATTGCAACTTCATTATCATTTTCTGCAGCTTTTTGATACCAATAAAAGGCTTTTTCTAAATTCTTTTCTGTTTCTTCCCCATTTTCATAACATATGGCTAAATTATACATTGCTTTAATATGGTCTTTTTCTGCTGCTTTTTGATACCAATATAAGGATTTTTCTAAATTCTTTTCTGTTCCTTTTCCATTTTCGTAATATATGGCTAAATTAAACATTGCAACTTCATAACCACTTTCAGCTGATTTTTGATACTGATGAAATAATAGTTTGGCTTCATTTTTTTCATCATCAATTACATTTTCATCAAAAATATTAGATTCATCTTTTGTTCTATTGCAATTTATTTCAGACATTTTTAATATAAACAAGGAAAACGGAAAACCATCGTAAAATCCAGAGCATAAATAGTTATGTTTATTTATGTTGTGCAAATAAGTGTTGTGCTTTATTTATGTTGATCAAATATGCAAGAATGTTTCAATGTTTCATGTGTGCGAACAGACGGATTTCGTACTCTAAAATGATCAATATCGCACAAATGATCAGTGATCACATGATATTTGACCAATCAATTAGCGTGCGCCTTCATTTTGCCGGGTTACATATAATATTATGGATGTGACAATTAATGACGACAATTAGAGTTTTTACATATAAAAAAAATTCACAGAATAATAGGATGTGACACTTCGTGAAAAATTACTAACCCTAATCTCCTTAAATCCTAATCCCCTTACCCTAAACCTAACTCTAGTTCTAACCTTAATCTAAAGAACCGGCAAAATGAATCCGGCTAATTAATTTTTAATACATAATGTGTTTTTTAGAAAAACCAATATTTTTTAAAAATACTTTTAATTACCTATTAAATAAAATTTATTTTACATATAAGCATAATACTTTAACTTATAACGTACCCAATCCTCCAATCCTCCATTTTTATTAAGATCCAATTTTTCCCAAAACTTCCAAAGGTTTTATTACGCAAGTTTGTTTAATAAAACTTCCTCCCTCTCGTTAAACAAATTGTAACGTCTTAAAGTTAGATGTGAAAAATACTGATATATTTTATTTTTAACAAAGTCTCACAAACTCAAGTATGGGACATGTCTCTTTTTGTGAACCAAATTTGTTAGTATACTCGGTACACAGTATGTAATATTATCGAAGTATTAAAAAAAAATTACACAAAATTATAAAAGTTTTTTACTTCAAATCACCGGGGGTGATCATCACCGTTGGCCAGAAATATCAATTTTTACCGGCACTATATTTTTTAATGCTGGTCGATCATCATAATTTCAGTCACCGGCGATCCCCGGTGATAGTTAGAAAAATTCTTACGAAAAATATTTTTCGTATATGAATTTTTGCTACATGATCGACATCGAAGATTGTAGTTAGAGAGTTATTATATTTAGCACATTATTTGTACAGTACATTTACGAAATTAAAATTCTGGTATTGTCGTATATAGCTTTTCGTAAAGTAGATTTTTAGAAATATTTTACATAAAAATTTAAAATTCGATAATTTAATGATAGGCTCGAGTGGGTAGTTACTGATTATTTTGATGTAATCGAAATCCTATTAGTAGATAATACATTTAAAAAAAAATAAATTAAGTCTATGATTTATTGCATATTCGTTATCATTCTAGTTAAATAGGACAATTAAGTTTCTTCACATATTTTTTTTTTAATTACATCTGTCGTTGTAATAAAAATAATACCGACATTCTCCTGATGTAAACAAAGATATAAATATTTATACGTATTTTATTGTCTATTCATTTTTTTTCATAAATTTATGACTTCAATATAGCAGAAATTGTTTTATCTTCCAGTTTTATAGAAATAGTGACATAATAATTCTGAAAGAAATTTATTGAAATTTCTATCTTCTTCTTGGTCACTTTTTTATAAAAGACTTCATCCAAATGATTTTTTAATTTGAAATTTTTAATGTCAACTATGTATTTCTATCATAATGGTTATTATAGCTTAAATTTATTATATTCTAAATTTTCTTTTAATAATACTTAACGCTAACTACAATTGAAAGTAAAGTAGACCATCAAAATTCGTAATAGTATTAAAAGTGAACTTTTCTTTTTGGCCGTCCAGAATGATATAATCCTTAATGCCAAAGATATTTTTTGAACGAAAGCCGAATTAAACTTATTCTGTTTTAAGAATTATTATTGACGTAACATACTACTGTCGGTAACTTATAGCGAATTTTCCATCTCGAGAGTCGATTTTTTTAGAGTATTAATTACTATCTTCAATGTAAAGAATTTTTCGCAGTACAAAAAAATATGAAAAATATTTAATATTCAATTTCGAGTTATCAATTTTAACTCCTGATGAGGTTTGTAAATTATAAATCATTTAATTAGTCATTTAATTAGGAAATCATACCACTCAGGATAAATTACGTAATATTCCTAACATTTTTTGAATAATTTAAATCAATGAATGGCTCTTTGTATGATAACATTTGATAAATGTACGTGTACGGCAATTTAAGGTCACGATTCTGATTTAGTTTTTTTATCACGTATAAAACAATTAAAAATATAGTACACTACCGAGTATCCAAATTTCAAGGAACTTTTAGACAAAATTTGATATAAAATTTACGATAATTATAGACTCAAATTCGACCTATATCATATCAATAATGTTATTTAGAATAATGTTTAATTCGTGATACGTGAGTCAACTGCAAAAAATTCATATATGATTTCTGTCAATCATTAGTAATTTTTTTCTGTCACCTGACTTTCATTCCTTAAATGATGCTCTTTATGTAAACCCATTCAACACTAATATATTTTAATACATAATATTCAAAATGAATAAATGTGTATCTCGCCCCCTTGTATGATGTTGATGTTTAAATCTCACATTCTGTAACAAAAATTGTAAAATAATATACAAACTTTTTTTTAAAAAATTATACATGATGTGTATTTTTGCCTACTCTACAAGTTTACTTAAAGCACTAAGATGATTTTTGACTTATTTAACAAAATTTTTTTTTGGTTTTTTTTTCGTTAAATCACATGACGTAATTAATTCTGGCCATTAAATGATCGGCATAAAAATATCCCTTTTGGGATTAAAGGCGAGATTTAAGCATCACGCATACTGTAGGAGCTGGATTTAAATTTACCCTAATAATTAACCCATAGTTTGATTTTTACATTAACTTTTTCACATAATTTTAATTATTTGACACTAAGCCAGATTTCCATTTTCTGCAGATCTTTTGCAGTTGACTCGTT